GCATAGATGTCGTAGGAAAATATATATGCTTTCTTTGATTCTGTTCACCTTGCCTTCGAAGCTCTTCATTGGCAGACATCTTGGTTTTTACCGATTTGAATGGGCAGGCGATCATGTTTAGATTAATCCAGTTTTCAGTGAAAGTCGGGCGGGCGCTTCCCCGGTATTTTACTATAGTTGCTATTCTAAGTGGAGAACTGTCCTAGCGACAATGCAGGTTCCTCCCGTAAATAAGTTGATTATAAAAGCAACGCTCATCTTTCACAAATGACCATACGACCAGTTCATCTTACTACTGCTTTGCTACCTGTTCAGTTTGATAGCATGCTACAACATTGAAGGCCTCTATGTGAATGCATAGTCAAGTTCCTTTTCCAGTGTCAGTGCTTAATGCTTAAGTTTTCACACGGCACTTTGGGCTCAGGCATGCAATTTTTGCGCGACCATACGAGAAGGCAGTTGAAGAAACTGCCAGAGTGTCTCTATTCCACAGTGTGCTGTAATTTCATCTAATTTGAGGTTAGTAAATATAGAGGGACTGGTACATCAAAGGGGTTATCATGGTAAGAGTACTAAATCAGTAACAAAAGCTGGTTGTGATTCCACTCCTGCACAAAATGCGCCATTTTACACCAGAGGCAATGTCTTGCGCCATTCTGATAAAGATTCACCAAATTGCGTGGCTGGCCCAATTAGTTGGTGACTTGTGTCACCTATCTTAGCCACACACAACCTGAGCCGTGGCAAAGTGAAGGACACCTAGCAGCTGTGCTGTCAACTGGCGCAGGTGCTGCTTTGAGGCAAATGCAACCCTTTCCGAGAACATGACTAAGCTGGCAGGCATAAACGAAAAGCCGTAAAAACTTTAAAGGGCAACTCCGCTTCATTTTTGGTTTTGAAAAAAAAATGCAGTCCTCTTCAGTATCGCCTAGGAAGACCACACGTCAAATATTACGACACAGTTCTGTCTAAATGTTTCTTAAACGGTCCAGCAAACTTTGCAACTCGCCAAGTTGCCGAAATCGGCTGACTCGAGCGGGCGAATTCAGGCGCAACCAACAGTGCAGTCAAGGCTACGACATGGGCGGAGCCAACATTGAGCTAATTGTCATCATCATGGCCCCCTTTTGCTTCTTTTTACTTCTCCGATCGAGCGTAGCGCATGACGTCAGCAACGTTGCCTCTCGGCGCTCAGCGGTGTCCACGTGATTGGCGTACGCGCCTGCGCAGCGCACTTCTTGGGAGCAGACTAACCGCCCGCCGTTATCGCCGTCTTCCGCGTCACAGCCACCGTCGTCGTCTCACCGTTTGTGATTATTGCCTCTCGGAGTTTCGTCCGCGCTATGGACACCACGTGCGCAGAGTCGCAGACTTATGCCGCAGTTGTGCAGACGTCGTCGAATGCCGTAGACACCAAAACGTGGCGAAGAGTGCGGTGCAGACGACACTCGCACCTGCCGCATGCCCGCCCCATCCCGCCCGTCGTTGGGCCGAGGATCACGTGATGGCCATGTACTTGGCGGCCCGAGGCCAATGTTGCCGGACGGAGCCGAAGTTTCGGTTTCCGCTCGTATTTAAAATTAAATTTAAAAATATATATCCCATTTTTCGCAAAGCAAACGACGTAGTGTCTTTTACTAGGGCTTTTTAATTCGAAATCACTCATTATCCCGAAATCTTCGGAATTGAGCGGAGTTGCCCTTTAAAGGATGGGCCTTTGACAGGTTCTTTCTGCTCAAAATGAACAGTGCATAGTAAGTTACATCAACAGTTGTGTAAACTTTTTTTTTTATATGAGGAAGATCTGTCTTGTAACCCCTCACATTGGATTTCTATGGAAGATAACTTTTCGTAGTTAAGCCTGTGGAGGCCAACATTACAAAGTGGTCTGTCCTGTCTACAGCAGAAAAAAAAAGCATGATAGGAGATTTGCGAACTTTAAAATTCTCTTAACTAAATTTAGGTGATCATAGCTGCTTGCTCAAAAGGATCTTGGAAAGTGATATTCAGGCGTTCACTCGTTCGGTGCTCGCGAAGTAAGCACGAGCGATTGCAAGCCTGCCAAAGATACCCTCACGTGCATGATGCTTGTGTTTGAGCATAGCCTCCGTTACTCTACAAAGCGTCTCAAATCGCGAAAGACTCTGGTTTGAGGCTTGTCTTTGTCTTTTGTTTCTGTATGTCGCTCTAGCGGGACACGGGTATTAGCGGGTCCCCGCGTTTTTGTCTGCAATCTGTGTGCACAACAGCTGTTCCCATGACACGCAAGTTTGTAGTGGGTTCCCGTGTGTTGATCGCACCATGAAATGCAAATCCGCTGTGTCCACGATCCGAGGTGTCTGTTCCTGCGATTCTAATCCACGATCTGCGCACGCGATGTCGGTTTCCGTGATGCGCAAGTTCGTGTGAAGTTCCCGCGCGTTCTTCACGCCGCAAAACGCGCATCTGCTGCGTGCGCAATCGTGGCACGGTAGTTCGTAGCAAATTCCCGCGCGTTTTTTGTACCGTAAAGTGGAAATTCGCCATGTCCGCGATTTGCGGCGTTTGTTCGCATGGTTTGTGGCGGGTGCATGAAATTTTGCTGTCAATTGTTTGGAGATGTGTTATGCCCATGTTTTTCACCATTTATCTTTTCGTTTTGGGTAAGCATTCTTACAATATCTTACGGATTGAATGTGTGTTTGGAGATATTGTGGTGTGCAACTGAAGCGAAAAAAGCAAAGGGAGCATGTTTTTCAAGAGGGTTTCTTCTGCGACAGCAATGCCACATGAAGAAGAGGGGCAATCCAGGTACGCCCTACATCATTTCTTACGACGACCCTCAACATCATGGTAGACAGTCAGGTGAGAGACTTTGCAGCTGTCGTAAGCAGGTGCCAAAGACAACTTGTGTTCTCTCAATTGTACCATCTAAGCTGATATCGTTTGTCCCCCAAAATTATTACGCAGCAAGGTCTGTAGTTCGGCGAATTGGTGCATTGTCGGAATAAATAAAACGGCGCAAAAAAAAGACATTGAAAAGTAGACGACACAAACACAGTGGTAACTAAAAATTGGCAGCCTTTTCCTTTCACAACAATATACATCAAAGATGTTCAATAATTTGATGCACTGTCTGGTTTCCCAAGTTTCTCCTTTTGTGTAGGTAGATGTATTTTATTGAAAAAGACAGTCGATAGTCAGCAAAGTGTTTGTGTCTCTTCTCCTTGTCCCCTTTTGTACCTTTTTTTATTCTAATCAAATGCAGCAATACCAAAGTAACATCCCAAAACAAAGAAGCTGTTCAAACGGATAAATTAAAGAAAAGAGTCGGCATCCTGCAATGGTGTATAGCATTTCCAGGCAGAAACAGAGCGTGCGCCATGCTGCTGTACGGTAACAATGTTGATTGTCTTCGTCCATTGCAGAAGGACACTGGCAAGCGCCACCGAACAAGCAGAAAGGAGGCAAGGGCAGCCGCAAACGGGTGCACAGCGAAAACGCGTCGGCAGGCAGACAACCAAGGAAACGACCTCGCCACAATATGAATCACCAGCACCAAAACGACGACGGCGGCTACGACAACAAAGCTTCTGTGAGCAACGGCGGAGGCTCGAAAAAGAGGAAAAAGAACAAGAAGTCGAAGTTGCTGCGAAAGATCGAAACGTCGGTGGCATCTCAAATGCGTAACCTGGAGCAGTTGCACGCAGGAAAAAACCGCGCGCGTAAAAAGAATGCGAACAATAACTGGCGCCAAGAGAGGCCAGCATGGGACTGTCGCGGAAAGTATGGCGTGGCTGCAATGGGCCGCTTTCCGCCCGGCTGGCGAAATTCCGCCTACTGACGCGGTCTCATTTCGGTTTAATTTTGTGTGTTTGGAACTCAACTGTGCATATGACGAGGGAAAGGGGGAGTTTTGGGCCCACGCAGCTCATTAATGGGCTATGTTTGGGGCTTTTCCTAAGATGTTTATATACCAAGAGTGTGCATATGCATTAGAAATCTACAAGATGTTGGCATGTAAAAATAAAGATTGTCAAGGGGCTCCCCTTCGGTAAAGGATGCAGATTTATGCAGTCACCAACCGTAAGTCTCTGAGAGTAGAGGTTAGACAAACACAGCGAGCCATTGAAACTGGTGTTTGAGGATATTGCATCATTTAAAAAAAAAATTGGGTGGGAATGCCACATGCATTGGAGTGTGCCAAAAAAAATATTTATGCCACTTCGCTTGCATTGCTAGCTTATGAGGTGGAAGTATACCTGAAAACGAGTATCAAATTTTGGGAAATTGTGTTGCACGTGAAACATGTGGCGCACACATTTTCAGCATCAGTTAGTTTAGCGGCTGGCCTAATGCATGGCATGTACTCTCTATAGCTATTCCTGGAATGGAGATACTGGCTCGAACCTGGGTTTTAGAAACGTGCTATGGGGTGTCAAGTTGCTGTCTGCCAGAAGCACAACAGACGCCCCGTAGGGCTTTCCCACCGAGCGGCATCTGAACTTGGGGAGATGCGTTGCACTGTGCCGGAAAGACACTTGCCTAATAATCTAAATGGTCCAGGTTCTATTCCTGCCCGGCATGAACATTTTTTGTTTTACTGCAATGGCCTCCTTACTTTTGCTCAAAACCAATTGGTGTCGAGCCTTGCGGCCATGCGCTTATCCAGGCTCCACTTTTGGGTTTCACAAAATACCGAACACCTAGCCAAAGAACGTTAAAAGAATGGGTAATTCTCGTACGTAGGAAAAAGGCTATCCTTGCAAAGATCTGATGCAACTGTTTCCAATGTTTGCAAGCCAAGGTAGGAGTAATAAAAGAAACAAGCAATGAATGGGTAAACACCAAGCTAGCATCCTACCGTAAAGCATTTCCACAATCAGTATATAAGATGTGGACTCGGCTGTCTATGGCATGCGATATGCCACATGTAGAGGTTCCACGAAGTCAACATCACGCATGGTAAGAAGTGCCAATGGCAGCAGTGACAACAGGCATTAGCCATGCTCACGAAAAAATAAAAATTTCTATGATCAAATTTATTATCTCCATCAAAGAACCTCGAGGTGCGCAGAGATCTGGACGTATGGAGTCTTCTCACTTGAGACAGACGAAGTGCCACTTGTCCACTGCAGAGAAAATTCAAAATGTGCATGAATGACAGAGCCTTTAAAACAGATCCTGCCTAGCAACTATTTCAACACTATTTGCAACTCATGTGACCTTAGTGTTGGCACGTACGACATTCCAGTGTTTCAATAACACGCAGATGCAGACACCTTGTCGGTTGCCACCAATAACTTCAGAACACTTCTAAGGTTAACATTTCTCGAGCAGATCTTTCAGGCTCACTAATGTGGAGAAAATGGACCAGAAGCAAAGGACTATCCTGCGTAATTCTGTAGTGGCGACGCAGGCACTTGCAAAAATACTGAACCTAGAGAAAATTAAATTTTTTCTACCTGATGAAAATGGGCACATTTCAAAATAAATGTTTACCCTGTGCAATGATGACGTTTTTACCCAATTAGTGTGTGCACTTGAGTTCGCTGGACCTCGAGCGCACACTAGTTGGGTACAAACGCTATCATCATCATCCCACAAGAGTACAATATCGGTCTTGCCCGCAAATCGAAAAATTGGTATTGTAGCATAAATATTGGGAAAAAAAATATTTTTCGACGAACATTTATTTTGAGACATGCCTGTCCTCACCAGGCAGAAAAAATAAATAAAAATCTTTATGTTTAGGGCTTTTTTGAGGGGCCAAGAAACAATTTTTCAACTTTTTCGTATTCACCTTTCCTCCTTAACTCAAATCATACTAAACAGTTCAAGAAAAAAGGAACACCCCTCTTGTTCGGACCCTTGTTTGTGTACCCAGACATCGCCAGCCTGTCGCTCTAAATTCAGACGAGTTGCTTTCCCCACCCCTAAGCTGACAGTGCGGTGGAAGCTACGTGCTCATTGGGTCAGCCACACTTCTATCGTTCGCCAAGGGATCACGCTCCCTTGCACATACCTACGTGCAAAAAAAGGGGTCAGGTGATGAAAGGGAGACAGCAGATTGGTCTGGCAAGCGCATAGCTCTTATTGCACTGTCAGCTTGCGGGTAAAGGGAACATAGTGAGGTCAGGTGTCATGTGACACGCGTTGGGGCCGGGTGCCATGCTTTGGGTACTTCAGATGTATCTCAGTGAAAAGGCAGAGAGCTTTTGAAGGGAAGGCGGTACGAAATAGTCCGCTGTTTAAAAACTCTTGTACCGAAAATCGGGCTTTTGACTTTCTACCTTCTTTCTCTTGACTCATGAAACGATATGCTATTAGTAAAATCTAAATGCATTCATCCAAGCCTGAAAATTCGTAATGCGGTCCCTTTAAATGCAAAGGACTTAATTCTGAAGAAAGCCTTTGCATGCAGCAACGTCTCAAGCTTGCAGGTGTTCAATTCGCAATCTTCTCAATGGCCCGAGGTAGGTTGTCTTTGCAGGGTAACCAAAGAGATTTTAGTCCAGTCTGTAAGATCAAGGCCCATGTGCAAACATGGTCCAACATGCCAAGTAGTTGGCAGATAAGAGCAGTACAGGCACTCCAGATGCAGAATACTACTCTGCCCAAACAAGTGTTTGAATTGACAGCACAGGATGGAAGGTGAAATCTCCACGTCAGCCAATAGGACAACTGGGGCTCCAGCTTGCAAAGGACTGAGCAACATTATTGCCAATGGCACCACAGTTAGCAAAAATCGTAGCTAGCCTCACTGTCATACAGTGTGTCCATGCAGAATCGTGCCTGAGCCACAGATGTCTACAAGACGTTGCATGAAGAACAGTCGTCATGCAATAACATGAAACCTGAACGCAACACCATACCTTGTTGCAAATTAAGAAAATCAATACAAGCTCCTACTGCAAAGCCCATCCCCCTTTCCACTTTGGGAAAGTGGATGCTGGAGAGGAGCAGAGTTTACTTGGCTCCTTTCTTCACCGGCGACAAACTATAGCGATGGCGCACCGAAACTACCATTCATGGGCTTGCCAGTGCAGAACAAGATATAATCTGAAGCATGCCGAGGTGCCAGCCATTGCTATAGTCTGTTGCAGGTTAAAGAAAGCAGGACAAACTCCTACACTTGCCTCCTCTCAAGCATTTGCTGGAGAGCGGAGGGCTTTGTGGAAAGGGCTTGTCCTGCTTTTCTCAACCTGCAGCACACTGTAGAGCTACAAAGATATATCGATGTGCCCAGACATCATCAGACTTCATTACTACACATTACTGAACTCGCAGGGACTCTGCCACATAATACGAAAATATTTTAAACTTCCCAAGAAGTTTCCGGGATTCCCCGCCCAGTGCTGCGGTGTGCTCGGAAGACTCTAATATGACCTTGACAATGCTCTAAACCAGATCCGGCATAAGGAAGTTTTCTGACTGGCCCTCGGCTGGCCACGACCTTTTTCCGACGAAGCCCAGCCTGCTGCTTGCTTCCAGCGACCCGCTCCAAATGCGCAAATTAAGGTTCCTAATTATTCTGAACATTCTAATTAGTGTTTTTCCACTGCGCAAATGTGCCAAAGTTCCTATGCACTCTGATTAATAACTGGTGAGTTTTCTTGACCACACCTGTTATGCAATGTCATAATTCGCTGAATACTAAATTTCAAATTCGAGCATATATATATTAATCCACTTAGATACTTTTTAATACATACTCTAAAATTTATTTGTGTTTAAATGCTTATCTCGGTTTAACTTTTTTTTTTTTTTTTTTTTTCATTTATAATTACTTTTTTGTCCCGGCCCTTGAGACAGCAACAGATCCCAGATCCGAGATCCAGCCCCATAGCCAAAAAGTATGGGGACCCCTGCTCTAAACCAGGGGTCTCCAAACTCTTTGGCCAAGAGGCCAGATTGGGGATCTCTTGCTGTTTCGAGGGCTGGTAAAGAAATGACTAAAAACTAAAGTATTAATCATAGATAAGCAGACAAATACAAATTAAAAGTTACAGTAAAAAAAAACAAATCTAAGGTAGACAGTACACATACTTTATTTTAAAAAAAATATTTAGCTAGTTATAATATTACACAATAATTGGGACCCAGAAAACTTGTCAGACGTAAATTGATGCACACAGGAACTTTGGCCTGTTCACACAGGGGAATAGACTAAAAGAATAATGGAACTAATTCTGACACCGTGCAAAAGGTAAGACTAGAGTCACTGCATGGGTTCCCAGAGTAACTAAACTCCAAAGGTTCATTCTGGGATTGCGGCGCGGCGCTGAAACCGAAACCATGGCGCCGCCATCTTGGGTCTACGCATCGACGGGGGTATGAAGGCGATAGCGACGTGCACCAGAGCGTGTTGAAGGAGCTGGTTCATTCTGCGATACACGGAATGAACCAGCTGTAATCGTCACTCAACCCACAAAGCTTGCTTGTTGCAGTGGGCTCGAAATTTTTCCATTTTACTATGGGCAGCCAAGCCTTCTTCCTCCGTCTTGCAGTTGCATTCTATCCAAATGGAATTCGGAAAAGTCTCTTTCCATCCTCCGACCTGCTGCTGCACCCAAAAGCACAACAAGCAGGCATTGTGCCACTAAGTACGTAACCTCCTTGTTTTTGATGTCGGTAACCGCGTGGAAAAGACTGCGCATAAACGCGCGTTCGATGAGCAGTAGAGCGTGCATGTGTGCAGTTGTTTGCAGGACCCAAGATGGTGGCGATTAGTGCCATTTGAAGCACTGGTGGAGGTGAGTCTAGCAGTGCTTGTTTCATGTGATCGCTACCGTCCAATGATTCTCACCAAGCCAAAACATGATCGGCTAGAGTGAGTATGTTGTCGGCAAAATGCAAAAAGAAAAGGAATGCGTTACTCTGGGAACCTATACAGTGGCTCTAAGTAAGACACAGGACAATACCAATCACAATATACGTGGGAATGGAAGGAAAATAGGAGACTAAAAATAATGATGCTGCAGATAACTACAGCCCTGCATATCCGCAGATTACCTGCAGATTATCCACGGATTACCTGCAGATCATCCACGGATATCTAAAGTCAACTGGTGGATGCGGATAAAAAGTAATCAGATTTGGCGACGTGAAGTGTCTCTGGAAGGACGATCGCTTATAAAACAAATACAATAAAATTACTTCCCATATTCCAACTCGACGAGTTCTTGTACAACGATGAGCAAGCGGTTCGTAAAATGACATCCAAAAACTTCTTTTTTTTTTTTTTTTTCATGCTTCATTTTATGATGTAACGTGCAAGGGCAGACTCTGGGTCGAATCCAGTTCCGAATTTTGCAAATGCGGTTAGGATGCAGATACAAAGTATGCGGATGCGAATGCAACAATTTAAAAATATTGCAGATGCGATTCAGGTACAGATACAAAGCCTGCGGATCGGATGCAGATGCTCAAACTGTTACCCATGCAGGGCTCTAGTGATGACAATGCATACCTACCAAATTTGGAGAAACGAAAAAAAAAAAAAAAAAATTTCATTATCAAAAAAACCAAATTAAAAAAAAAAAATGAATTGACATGAAGACGACTTCGTTACTTTTCTCCATAACAAAGAACTTATCTCTCTCTCTCTCTCTCTTTGTACTGCACTGCTCATGCTAGCGAGATACAGCAGGGTCTCATTATATAATTGCTGCCACCTGCTGCAATAGCAAAAATTCCTTGTTTGTTTTAGTGCAGGCGGGAGAGGGGGGGGGGGGGGGGGGGGGGCAATTTGCATTCTCTGAAAGATCTTCCTGTCAACCATACAACCATACAAAATGGTCAAAGTTCAGGAGCTCCCCAAATTACACTGCTGTCTTGGCAGGTATGACACTGTCCAATGAATAATATAACGAGAGGACATGCATTACGATGGCAGTTTTCTCTCAGCTTTTTCTGGTATCTTCGTTTACATAGGTGGCGAGCGTTGCGGCGCCATTTTTTTAAGCGCGCTTATTTTTGCACCAGTAGCAGCGGGCCGGCTTCAGTTGAAGGACCACGGCCAGCCATGGGCTGGTCGGAAGACCTCCGAAGGCCGGATTTGGTCTACGAAACGAGGTTTGGAGACCCCTCTCTAAAATTTGGTTTCAGGCGAGAAGGTGGTGAAGAACTCACGGGGACTCCTGCCTTGCTGTCGCCGGAGTTTATTTGTATGCCTCCGATATTGAGAGTGCAACGCGTTGCAAAGCTTCTTGTCTTCAGTTGCAGCGGTGCGATTGAAGCGGCGCTGTGCTTGGCGGCACTTGGCTCTCAGAGATAGCCACCTCTCATCACGTATTGGTACTTGCACAGGTAGAGTTCCACTTTTAGACTTGAGACATCATGCTTCGCAATCATTCATTGTGACACCCTTAATCTCAAATGCTAGGAAGACCGACCGCCCGATATAGAAACTATGTCCCTCGCATAATATTTTTTCCGCCAAGCTTGTCGGGGTGGCGTTTCACATAAACATGCCGTAGGCCTGCTCCTGTTCTAAACAAATTGGAGTACGGAGGAAGCGGGAATATGTATTTAAGAGAATACGAGTCTTTGCCTCGACGCTGGACAAATTGCTTGGCTTAGCAGGACCTCTACCCAGTATCACGGGGTGGCCTATTGTGGTACCAGAATTCGGAAGATTATTGCACTCAAAGTGCATATTCAAAATAAAAAAAGAAGCTAATGATATTCCGTAGGAACTAGGTGCGCCAACTAATAAGGAAAGCATTGATGTAATGCTTTCCTTATTTTGTCACAAACATTTCATTTTGGCAATGCGTGCAGCACTGTACCTTCCCCATGGAAACATGCATTTCTGCAATTTGTTTCACATTTGCGCCACTGCCGTAGAGACACCTCGGATTGGAGAAAGAACTTGGACATACCTATGGCCTCCCTGCCAGCGTCCGGACCGAACTCTGGGGTTGAAGCGACGATTGAATTGGCCTCATCGTCGCTGATCTGGTGGGCGTTCCCTTCGAGCGTCACTGTCGAGCTGAAGGTTCCAAAACAGCCACATGACTAGCCTGCCATACCTGCTCATCCTCGCTCTTTATATACAGTAAAACCTCGTTATAACAAAGTTGAAGGAGCGGTCGTAATTATTTCGTTATAACCATTAGTTTGTTATAGCCAATGTCCATTTCTTCCCACTATTAGCAAGCAAGGGGAATTATGATTGCTTTGTTATATCCATTAGTTTGTTATAGCCAATGTCCATTTCTTCCCACTATTAGCAAGCAAGGGGAATTATGATTGCTTTGTTATATCCATTAGTTTGTTATATCCCATTTTGTTATAACGAGGTTTTACTGTTGTGTAAACAACTATTTTTGCAGGCACGTAAGTTCCTAATTGGGAGTGGTCTGCCACGTACAGTCGCCGACCTATTTTTCGGACGCCGACAATTCGGGCTTGTTCAATATTTTGGACTGAAACAAGGAACCGTGACCCACCCGATAGAAATAGCGCATATTCACGAGTGGTGTTTCGGACAGCTAGAAGTCCGAAAGTTTGATTTCTCGTACAAAGTCATCGCGAGCCGACAAGCCACCATTTTACATTCTAGGTCGGCTGCACGCAGATTGGCTGGGTTTGGCAGTGCTACTCGAGTACAGTCGAATCTCGTTAATTCAAGCTCGAAGGGGACCGAAAGTTTGTTTGAATGAAGCGAAGTTTGAGTTATTGGGAGTTTCCTCCCATAGAGAGACATAGGATGGGACCTGCATGTTAGATTAAATTAAGAGAGTTTGAATTAACGAGATTCGACTGTACTGCTAAGTCCTATTGCTAGGCAACGCTATACGGCTTGTGTTCCTCTAGCTGCGCGTCATCACCACCCTCGCTACCATTTTGCTTTGTTCATTCGCCATTGCAGTCGTGGACTTGCGCCTCTCGTCTCGTCTCAGTGAATTGTGTTCAAGGATTACGCTGGCTTGGACGCCGTGGCCCCACCTGTTCTTCCGCCGTGGCAAAGTGTCGCTAAGCACGAAAAGTACTCGACCATAAGGCTAGAAAAGAAGGCGGCGATTCTCAAGCTAATAGAAAGCGCCCAAACACAAACAGAGGCGTATCGGGGAACAAGGCGCGCAGGCATGACCTGAAGCAAGGCACTATTTAGGGCTTTTTTTTAAGGCCACTCGGACGTAATAAAGTTTCAGACTGCTCCATTATTTAAGCGTTTCTTCGGTCCCTGCGAAGTTTGGAAAACTGGCCGGCGACTATTCATTACCTCAGGATTATAATCGCGAGATCCATCTTTTTACAACATTAATCGAGTCGCAAAATTTAAGTCTATTTACAGTGATTCTGTTTCACCTCACGATAGACCGCAGAGGCCGCTATGAGCCGGCGAGGACGATCCCAAACCATGCGAGTGCCATGTGACCTTCAGCAGGAGGGCTGCAGCGATGCACTGCATGCGTATAGTTAGGTGGCGTTTTCACAGTGCTGGGTTGGCTGGAATGGTTTGTGGCGTCCAGTGCGCTCCATTGTAAGGTAAAACGAAGTGTAGCGAGTGCGTCGGCTATGGAACTATGATTTGCATGCACAAAAAGAGAAAATGTTTTAAGTGTACGACTCGAGCAACGTCATCAGTCTAGGGAAACGGGAACTGTCTGAGTGACTAGTTTTATTGGGTCCCAAGCTTTCGTCTCGGATTAGCAGAAAGGCGGAAACAGCTCATAAAAGCACATAGCTTGAACACGCGCCAAAACAATATTGCTTCAGTGCACGCAATTTCTGATAACCCTCGAGTCGCTTGGAACTACCAAAGCAGAGAGAATTACACGTGGTATGAAGTATTTCCCTTTTTGGTACTTGCTGGTATTAACTTACCAGTTTAGAGGGCTTGTGTCTGCTCTCTGCATAAGGGCCTCCCAGTATGTGTGTGTCTCTGCTATGATCTTCTCTGCAAACTCCTGCCATGAAGAGAAAAAAGTAGGGTTTCAACTGCATTGAGAAATTGGCCAGCTGCATGAATTCAACTGTGTTTAAAAACTATGCAAAATAATCCTCTGGCACAATATCGCTTTCCCGACTACTCGCAGCAGAAGTGCTTTCGAGCCAAGTTCTACAACACGGGCTGTTTTCACTTACTTCATCCCTTTGTAAGGGAGTCGGTGTCCAAGTGTGCTAGCGTGCCACAGCTCAAAACATGTGGAGCGAAAGTTTGCGCTGCAGATCCCAGGGTTTAAACCCCACCCCTGATTGTTTCGATCTGGATGAGCATTGTATTGGCGTGCGGTCGTGTATCACTACTGCTGGATGAGCTTTAAAGGGATACTGCAACGAAATTCTAACGCCTATTCTAATGTCTAAATGTCAACCACGTTCTGGCCACACCATGGGGACACCAATTTTTTTTCTCGAAAAGACACCAAAACGTTGTTTAAAAGGAATAAACTGATTGTCATTACGTCGTTCTGAACTTAAAAAAGCAGCGCCACTCCGCGCACGTACGGCGGCTATCGAACCAGATTTCCCCTTCTCTCCCACCCTTTTCAATTCCTGCAGGGAGCGGAGAGGGGCAACTAAAATGGCCACGTTGTAATGTGTTGATGACACTATAAACAACCCAGCCCCCAAGCAGCTTTGCCCGTGCTGGGCCAGTTGACGTCACGTTTCCTGCGATTCATTGCTCTCTCCAACGGCTGATCTTCAAGTGCTCGCTGCAATCAGTCCTTTGGAACGAAAAATATAGCCATCCATTCAAAATACAAGCGTATGATTGTCATTAGGAGATGGAGTTGATCATGTTTAACTTATTTTTGAATGCAAGAGGTATATTTTAAGTTTCGATATTACTACGACTAGGAGAGTGATGATACTAACCCTATTCTTGGCCTCGCCATTAAATGCAAACTGGTTCTCGGGCTTTCCGTCAGGAATCTTGTAAATCCGAAACCATTCTGTAGTTGCCTGAAGAAAAGAAAATAAAAATAAAATCAGATGCCAGATTCACAAAACAATCTTATGCCAAAAATATGCATACGACAATACATAAGAACAAATTCGTATTCACGAAATGAAATTATCGCAAGTTTTGCGCAGGTTACACAGCTCCGTTGCCGTCTTGCGCACTTTTTTACGATGAAATCAACATGGCCAACAGCGTTGGCGGCAATCAGTTCATCGAACGACGTTTCATCGACAGATTGTTTCATCAACATAACAATGTTTCATTGACAAATCGTTTCATCGACAGCGCAAATTAGCCTTTTTCTTTAATTAGCTGCACAAGACTGTCGCCATGAAACAGCGTGTTTATGGGTCAGCCAGGTGGGTTAGCATTTTTGTAATGAGCCGCCGCGAACTGACACCGCGAAGCAGCGTCAGTTTGCGGTGTATCACGTCAGCGATACACGCGTGACCAAATGTCCCTACAGCGAGCAATACGCATAACAAATGTCGAAATGTTTGTGTCGACGACATGTGTCCATGAAGAGATGTCTACGAAACGTAATTCCATGAAACGAGTTTCAACAAAACAATAGAGACCCTGACAGCAATGCTCAGTTATTTGGGCATGACGACCAACGGATATTTATTTTCCTACGCGCTCTTTTCACGCGTCTCAATTTCAAGCAGCAAGAAAGAAAAAAAATACTACTCGAAACCGACCATGACGAACATGAACACTGGATCCACAAACGTCCGGGAAAAGCTACAACGGCAATGATCCCACCGACCAGGGAACCGCCAAGGGCTAGTTTTTTTTTACATAGAGACCTGCATCGCCTTTTGGCATTACAGAAGGGCATTACAGTACATGAAATACATTAAATTCTAACAAAAACATTGAAACACAAACAAACTTGTATATATGTTAAACACATCCTTCAATAGCCAACCTATTCTATTCTTCTATAGTTTAAAAAAAAAAAGAAAACGCAAAAACATCAGTACGACAAAACTATACTTCGTTTCAGCTTCGGTCCGAGCGCGGCCAATGTTATGAGCCGAATGGCCAATCAAACAGCGAAAGAGGCACAACGTCATGGCGTGCTCTCTGCAGTTGATAGGACCAGCCGCTATTCGCCGTCTCTCTGTGCGCGCTCCTCCGCCGGCTAGTTCTATCAAGCGCAGAGAGCCCGCCATGACGGTGCGCTTTTTGCGCTGTTCGATTGGCCCTTTGGCTCATAACATCGGCCGCGCTCGGACCGAAGCTGAAACAAAGTATAGGGTCGGATTTTGTTCTGGTGGTCCGCCCTTCCCAATATATAAAAAGGTTTGTGTAAAAACATTTCTCGACCGATTAAAAGGTGACCGTTATATATATCATGTAAAAATTTCAACCTAAACATTTTTTTGCGTTCAACTAGTGATTCCCACTTTAAATTATTCATGGTGGTGACACTTGCCCCGCATTGGTAATCATCCAGAACAAATCTAGCACACTGATTTTGAATTTTTTCCAGTTTTTCTATTAGGTTATTGTGGTGGGGATCCCATACAACTGCTGCATATTCAATACAGGGGCGAATAAACGTAAACGAGCAGCGAGCTCAGCAGTATATAGGCAACACCCGGAATCTTTAAGAAACTTCCGGTCAGCAATTTGAGCGTCATCTCTTATTCGTTGGTTTTATATTAAGAACCTCTCGTTTTCGCCCTAAAATTTATTTAATAGGGCGAGACACATAATATTGTTGCTGTTTACAGATAAGTTTACCCTGCAAAAGTGAAACAAATATTTTGGTTAGCTAAAGTTTCGCCCTCATTCTTTGCTCTCATTGGTCTTTTTTTTGTTTTGTTTTTTTATTTTGACCGTTAAGAACAGTTTCACAGCGGCTGCCGCGGCTGCGTGCTGCGTCGGCGGCGCCTGTGTCAGCGGTGCAGTGGTGCTTTACGTTGGCAGCAGCGGGCAGTGGTGCTGGCCTCCTGTTTATCAGTCTATTTCGTTTGCCAGTTCGCCAAGCGAACAGCACCTTGTCTATTGCTCGACTTGATGGTTCTCCAATTCCGGTGGTAACAGCTCTGCTAAGTTCTTTGGATTCCCAAGTGATGAAAGGTAAAAACAGGGGCTGCTCACTTCTTTTCAGTGCTGTTAACTTAGCGAGAAAGTCGCTAAATTTAGCATGTTTGCAGTCGTCCTAACCACAATTCTATCCTTTTGTAGCCTTACCAACTTTTTTTATAGAGTGCTTTATTTTATTTTTTATTTTTACAGTTAGGGAAATTGTTGCTAAAGCTATGTAGATGGGTAGCCACAAGAAAGGATCATAAACGCATAATCCTAGTCTTAAAAAAAAAAAAAAAAAGGAACTTAGGTTAGTGGGATAGCTCTTGGCGGCTTCCAGAGGACAGCTTTTAACTTTCAACTTTATTGCTACTCTCCAGTGGAAAGGGGGAGGGAGAAAAAAAGCAGACAGTTGTCAAAGTTGAGGGTAATGCAAGGTGACGTTGGTTGACGCGAAGACGAATGCATTCTCAAACACGGAATCACTTTCTTTTTCAGAGATTATCAGCAGGTATTGGGAAAATTTTTTGTAAACATTGCAAAAAAAAAAACAAAAAAACTGCATGTTTTGAAGCGAGCAGTTTTGTTCAATAAGGATGAAGTAGATTTGTTTTACTGAAATGGAGATGGATACAAAAGCGGTATGACCATGCCGAGCTCTCCGATTGGTTACTCATGTTGTCGGAAACACCTTCGCCATAGCAATAGCCCACTCTCGTGGAGATTGGGAGCTTGTGGGACACCGAAAGTTCTTATTTTTTCTTTACAAGAATGTCGCTTTCCTCCTCTCACACAAGAAAGTGTTTGTGAATAGCGATTTCTCCTCTTCTTACAATGTTCTTAACTCACAAACTTCTTAGCTAACTTGTCGTAACCTAAGAAACTTTTTGTAAATCTGGCATCCGACCTCCTTAAAACCACTTTGTCGGGCAGAACAAGATAAAGGGAAAACGGGGCACAGCATGCCATGCAACCAAGTCCAAATTTTTCAAGGCTTACCTTGAGAAGTCCAGGCATATGCTTTTCGATGTCACCAACATCTGCGAGGGGGAAGCAATTATCAATGGTCATTCAAAGCCAGCAATCTTCGCGGTTCGGTCACCCGCATCTAGTGGCCACAGTTGTTAAGTCAGATAGCATCTCTAAAGAATAAGGCATGGAACAGTAAGCCCTGCGATCATCTGGCGAGCTGGTTGGTTGTACATATTAGAATATTAGAGCACAAAAGCCATCAGATATGGTTAGTGCTTTTTTTTTTGTCTCCCTCTTTTTTCCTTCCTCGTCATTGTGCGCTTTAATATTCTAACAGTAAGCCCGTTCACACTTTTTCGAGTAGGATTTTTACTGGCTAAGTCACAAGAATTCTAGGACGAAAAGGTGATGCCTGATGGCGCGAATGAAATATACTTTTGCATGCCTACAGTAATCTGATAAACCAAATTTAAATTTGCACATGCAGTATTAACTGACATTTTGTATGGTTGCTGGAAGACCGATATGAGCTTTGGTAAGCTAGGAACACGATAAAGCACAATAATAAACTTCCCTTGTCTCTTTCCTCTGGGTTGTTTCTTGCCAGACTTTCTGACCCCTGCACACTCACTAAAATTATTTACAATCAAATTTTTTTTATCAGTAAACAGAGTGGTCTTACCTACTAAACAATGTAAAAAAATTGGCAGTGGCCTTTATTTCTAAAGTCCCATAGTGCATGAAATTCAGCACTTAAGGCATGAGCATTTAAAAATATTTAGAAGACATTAAAAAGTCATTTCGGGGAGTGAAGAACCTTTGTTAATATCAAAGTTCCCGGCACACTGAGTAACGAAACTGATTTGCTGTATAAGTCAAGTGACGTCGGGTCATCGGACGTCAATTTTCTCGCTAAACTTAGTGGAGAAACTGAATCTGTCTATGGATCATGTAGCATCAGGTCACGTGACATCAGCGATGTTACATGACCTGACCTCCAATTCAGTTTCCCCACTAAATTTAGCAGGAAATGCTCCGATGGACAAAATTTTGGAATTGGGGGTTCCAATAAGCATTCCATGTTTTAAAAGGTTCAAGAGGAGAAAAGCTGAAATAGCTTGCTCAGGTTCACAAGCTGTCGGTAGAACATAGCTCTGCCGTACCATATGCGCCTATCCTTAACCCTTAGCAAGCGTGCCATAATAGACTAAAGCTCCCTGGTTCTTACTCGGCAATGCCAAAGCAAGAGCGTTGCGAGTAAGTTCTTGAAACGAGGACTAACAGCCCTCCAAAGGCCTTTGTATAGCTCGCCATATGTTCACTCTAGGAGATTAGGAAGCCCCAAAAAGTAAGCTGAAAGCAACAAGAGTGCGAATTGGAAGAAATTATGCCCGATAAAATGAACACATTCAGCTCACACCAAGAATCCCTGCAGCTAAGCTATGCCCCACTCACTAATATTGTTGGGCTTGACTGTCCTGAACTAACCTCAGAAAGCCAAAAAAAAAAAAAACAGTGTGTGCCACTCTCGGCATCAGCAGATGCAACGAAGCACAGCACTGTGAAAGGAGCTTTCTACGACTCTTTCAACTGACGCAGACAAAGAATGTAAAGTACCGTTGAGCTCGTTGGCAAGAGGGTCCCTGATGTCGATGGCCAGCAGCTTCCAGTCTGTTTCTCCCTCATCCACAAGTGCCATCACGCCCAAAACCTTCACCTGCAGCACTTCACCACGCTTGGCAACCTGCATGGTTCAGAAGTTCCGCGCTCTCTTTAAATGGCAGCTCGACTCATAACTTTGTGTAACCTTGCATGTCCAGTATCGGCTAGGCTCGATAGGGTAGATGATTGTACACCTAATCATTCGGGAGTTTCACACACTCTCTAAGTGGCAGCTTAACTGACAACTTTCGTATCATTGAATGTCCAATATGGGCTAAGCTTCATATGGCAGGCGACTGCACACCACATACTACGATAAAATGATTTCGCTAATATTGATGTTCCTCCTCTCAACATAGTGCCCAAGTTTTAGTGGACATGGCACAGTTCAGTTGATGCTTGACCGGATGACAAGCAGAATGTGGTTCAACCCAGACGAGATGTGTGCGCGTGTTTCTTCAACCCTGGTGCCATATATGTCCTGGATGCCATAGCTCACCCTGAAGCCAATCTCGCAGATGTCGATGGGGTCGTTGTCCCCCTTGCAGTTAGTGTTGTTGTCGATGTGGCCTGGATCCTCCCAGGTCTATAAAAGAAAATTTGTCCTACATCATGCTCCATTGCCAGCAGCAATTGGACTGGACGCTTAGTGCAGAACTGCACCCAGAAAGAAAGGTGCTGGAGCCAACCTGCGGGATGGCACCATAATTCCAGATATAGCCGTGGTGAGGGAAGCAGTTAGAGACATAGCGCAGCTTGTTCTTCTTGGTGTCTTGCTTGATTGGGTTCAGCGGTTCCTTGGTGGCAATCTGCACAGGAAACACCAAGTCAAACAGAAAATGGGACTCAGTGTCTCGTTGAGAAAAACGCGAGTTGCGTATGTCGCGCACTAACTAGAGCTGCTCTGCTTTTTATTGCCGACAGCACTCATTGGAAAGAGCTGAAATATGATGTGGAAATGGTTGCAGGCTTTGTTTAACGAGCACCAGTGTGCTCAGCCACCACTTTATGTTGATTTAAAACTCCCAAGCCTAGAATTCGTATTAGTAGCTTCAGTCTCCCAGGTAATTGTGTGAATATCCCTGCCCTTTCGTCCGCAAATTAGATTTCTTTGTTGACAGCATGGCCGCTGCAAAAGTATTATCCTGAATATTTATGAATGCTTCTTGCAAGTCACCAGAAAGAATATAATGCTGAATGCACAGGATCCATGCTACCAGCACAATATATTTTAAACATTGGTATCTAAGCTCTCTATTACACTGCAGTGTGAAAAGGCAGAATATAAAAATCACTGGACATGCCAATTTTTTCTGTGGGGTTTGGAATCATTCTATTTATAGAGTGAATAAAAATATGACACAAAGGCTTCTTAAGCTGCCCTCATGTCAGGCACCAATAAAGCAAGGGTCAAAAGGCAACACAAGTGTCCCATCTCACTTTTAACATTTTAAAACCGTTGCTCACCCAATAATGTTAACTTTGTTGGCACGTCTCGAAGAAATGGGGCACAAAACAAAACTTTCTGCTTTCAAAACAGTTTGTATGTCCAAACCATAAATAAGATGCGTGTATAAAAAATATATCAAATTAACGTGTGAACATTAAATTTGTCAAAAGAACTCAAATACTGGAAAACAAGTTGTCTTAATTAATGAGGTCTTTTATAAGTAATGAGACCCCATCTCCGATTTATTTGCCAACATCAGTTCGAGTGATTATATACACCTTACTGGAAGAAGGTCTCCAAAAATGAACAACCAGTTTGGAGTCCAGGGGGAACCCCTGGACTCCAAAACCTTGACATTTTAAGTACTTCTTAGTAAAGATAATTGAGGAGTGGAATAGTCTGGATGGCAACCTTTTTGTTATGATCGATAATTCAGGGAAGTTTAAAAAAGCGTTTTTTGATCTGTACCCAAAGAAGGTTGAGTTCTTTGGAAATGGGATGATTTCAAAAGGTGGGATGATTTGGTGTACACTCATGTTTAGCCGGGAGATCACCCAAATGACAGTTGTATGTGTGGTTCTCGGTTGCTGTACAGTTCTTGTTCTTTTTCGCTCTTGTATTTTGTTAAGAAAATGCTGTCCTTAGACAACCCAAAAGGGCTATCAATATTGTAAGTAAATAAATAAAAAATAAATAAATTTGTGTTTACTGTTTCGCTATGTCCGAGAGAGACAAGAAAAGAGAGAAGTTAAGCGACCTCCATCTTGGCATTGGTCCAGCGAGGAACCTCCACAACCATGTTGTAAACCCGCTTGGCTGGGTCCGCAAACATGGGAATGTCGTGGAAGGGAGAGATGTACTTTCCTCCTTGCCCTGTAGTAAAGATTGACCAGACAAGCACAAGCATTTTATCACAATTTCATCCAACATACAAAATTCACAGATGACAGAAAACCAAACAAAAAAATGGCACATAGCACAGGTTCAAAGAATATCAATTACTTCAAAAACCTTCCCCTACATAGTTTTTAAGCTATTTCTAAACTGAAAAAGACTACACCACTGCCTAGAATCTTGCTGTACGAAAGTTTGGCCAACGAGCAATATATTCTCTAGCTGTCACAATGGTATGTCTATGCCGCAGCACTTGACGGCAGCCTACCAATTAAGGGTGCTTATCTCTGGCCTGCCATGACTGTACAACCTCCCGCACTTAGCTCTAGGCAATTGTTTCTAATGATCTCTAGTTGAGTCATGTCATGCCCCAGATGTCATAGACATAAACGTCTGCACTTTCAAGACGAGCAGAGCATGTCCAAATGTGAACTTAAACAACTCAAAGACCCTGCTATTTAAAACCAGAACTTGAACAAAGTGACAATGACAGAAGCAAGCACAAACAATGCAAAGCATACACCAAAGCTGCTGTGGTACCTTGCTATGCACCACATGTGTACATATTTTGTTGTCACTACAACTATTGTGAACGGAATCACACAAGAGTAACAAGTCATATGTGCATAAATCTCGAGGACTCTATCCAATAGAATATTGTAAAAACTGGGATTTCAACATGATAAGCAGCATGAAAGCTACTAACAAGATTCATTAGGAATAGATTTAAAAGAAACTACCCACGAGTCAATTCGCCTAGGGAATTTAATTTTCAGTTATTGGCAAGGAGACAAAGCACTTGTGCATGCATCACAGCTAATAAATGCACGATGGACTGGAAATGCCCGCCAGAGCTCTAACGTACTAATTGTTTTTAAGCAGTTTCTCTGGGTCTCACAGCCAGATAGAATATCTTATCCTACAGCGCTGGCTCTCAAATGGGAGTTCACGAAGCCCTGCCTCGTCAGTCAAGCCCGGCAAAAAAATTTGTCCTTTTCAGACTGAGATGAAATGTTCCAATTTTCGGACGAGTTTTCTCGTGTGTATGTCAATGGGAGAAGCCTACTTCACTTCACACTAGCCTTTAGTTACATCCACTTATTAACACATCATAACTAACCTGTACTTTTCCCTTCCCCTTGTGGATCATCTCCACCGATCCACAAGGGGTTCGCAGAACACCAATGGTTGAGAACTACTGCCCTATAGCATATCTCATATTTGAGAGGATATTGCCTAGACACCTAAAAGAGTTCCACACATATTGCTTTAATCATTTCTAGGTTTTTTTTTTTTTTTTTTATTTACATATTACTATGCCAAATGTAACTACCGTTCAACAAGCAAAATTAACTATAATGGCACAGAAAGAGCCATACCATCGAATGGCACCAGATGATTGCTCCAAGTTATTTTGCCACAATAAAATCGTTAGCTCTCATCTAACTTCAGCAGTATTCTCCATATTCCTACAAAAGTCACATCTGAATCCCATTTTATGATCTATTTTCACAGGTGGTTCCAACGCTCTCCGAGAAACAAAACTAGGACATGCCGTTTCCATGACCCAAAAACAATGCTGGTTGCTAGGAGATGTGATAAATTAAGACACACCATATTGATTGACACCTACACACTGCCTATCTTCAGGCACCCAAAATAATCCTGTCATGACGGCTTGCCCTGTGGTGCCTTTTTAAAATGAGTGCTGAGGAGCATTGGTTCTATACGGCTAAACTTTTAAGGAACATTTGTTACTGTAACTGCAGCCACTTTGTAGAACTAAGCGTTTGCAAATTTTTCAAAATGTCTCGTATTACAATATATTGCGAGGACAGAATTGCACAACCAAGGCTAGACTTGAATATGCATCCAATGCATTATCAATATGTTTCATAATCAATTTTGTAAAATTGTTTTCCATATGCAAAATGTTTGAGAATTAACTCATTGCAAGATATACTTTGATTACAGGATCCATATTCCTTACAACATTTCCTGTTCCTGTACACGTAAGATCGCTTTTCAGCTTGTATACTTAGGTGCATTTCCAAATTTACAGACCGTTTTATTAAAACTTGTTAACAACAATAATTACATAGGTAGGTTAAATATGTCTTGAATAATTTGTACATTTAAAAAGCAGACTGTTGGTTATGTGTGTATGTGGGCTGAGAAAAGTATTGTAAAGAAAACACATCTTTACACGCGACTTGCACTCCAGCAGCCTTGTCACCTGATTCCCAGATCCTTTCCAGGCTAACTGGAACTGCCCAAGAACTCAAGGCCTCCCTGCTTGAGATAAACTTTTTTATGGTTCCAGAGCACTTTCTGGTAGGATGGGGGTCATAGGGCTCTTATTACTAGAACCATCGAGAAGGCAATGAACCTGACTGTTACTTGCAAGAGGAAGCAATCAATGAATCTGATAACAAGCGAAGGTATGTATGTGATAAGACCAGCAAAGTGTAGACCCATATATTAATCGCCTTTGCCACATATAATCTCTTTGGCCGTCTACAGTTGCAACATGATGTGGCCACAGCAGGAACGGAAATGATATGATAAGCTTGCAGCTGTAACAGAGAAAACGAAAAAATAATAATAAAGAATGGAGAGGTTGCTTGTATGATGAGCAGGTGCTCCGAGCAAAATTGCACGCATCCTCTACATCAACTAGTCAGCAGCAGCTGCAGCATAAAAAAACTTTATAAATCCAGAAAAAAAAAAAAAGAAAAAAAGCTACACTTTAGAACTATAATGTATTTGGTGTAGGGCTCCGGCATGATATTCCTCAATACTGTTGAAAGTACTAATAAAAAGCCTCGACTCAGGGCAGGCCACCAACATTCCGATCTTTCTTTGGTCTGATTTACTTCTTTTTTTAATTAATTTTCTACATCTTTAATTTGGTGAGATGAGATGGTACAAGCTCAGCTTGCCTTGCTTCAAAAAGTCAAGGAATGCTTGTGCAACAAATAAATCGCTCAAAAACAAAAAGAAAATGTATCAATCCATATCCCTGCCCCCTGTCAAGAGGAATGTCACCAACAAAATGACAAAAATATAATGTAATATTTATTTTTTCTTTCAAAACCTTAATGACTTTTTTTTTTCTTAGTGTTATTTACACCACACCTGGCAATTAATGTTAGGAAAATAATATGGTACGTTCGTAGCTGAAAATCACAGCTACATCGTGAAAATGGCAGACCTGGTACACACATAAATTAGTTTAAAACAAAAACAAAAGAAAAAAACATTGTGTATTTAAACATTGTGCATTTTTGGGAGAATATATAGTACTGATCCAGTTGCTCTCCTCAACGTGCCAAAAGTCAGAAACCAAGTCAAAGGTCATTATTAAACGTGTCACAAGTCAAACCGTCCACCCCAAAGCTCACCTGTCGTGCACACAAAACAAAAAGAGCAAAAAAAAAATTGAAGCACGCAATTTTATCTTCATTGCCTGCCGCTGTTGCAGAGACAAGCGAAGCGGGACAGATAAAATAAAAAAAAAAGACGACGGCGAGCGGAAGCGCACCGGAAAGACGGACGTCTGTAAAAGCAGCCAGAAATTCGGTGTCCAAAAACTTACGGAAGTAAATGCTGTAGTTCAGACTGTTGGGGCTTCCCCGCTCAACAGTTGAGAACGCCATAGTAGCGGCAGTCGGAGCAGCGGAGGACGACATAAGTCCCGCCACTACCGCTACGACCAGGAAAAAATACCTTGCCGCTGCGAACTTACGGAAGTAAACCCTGTAGTCCAGGCTGTTGGGGGAGCCTCGCTCGACCGTCGAGAACGCCATGGTCCGACAAACTGGTCCCAGGACGGTGGAGGCCGGTGTCCCTCGAAGGAAGCTGGTCGTAAAGATCTTTCCCACGTGTGAAAGCATCGGTGCCGAGTCCCAAAGTGTCGCCAGCTGGCGGAAGAAACGTCAATCAGCCGGCTTTAAATGGCCGCCATGACAGCACAAAGTGGTTAGACTGTAGCGGATTATTGGAACGCACTCGCACGCATTGCTGTCCCGCTTATCGCGAAAACGAAAATAGGTAAGGGCTTCATGAAAATTAATTATGTGGACCGTAAAAGGGAGGCCTCAGCTATGCCTCAGCACAAAAAGAATCCAGTGTGTGTTTACAACCCATCCTACACCGGGGAAGAAAAAAAAAAAAAAAAAAAAACGCAGCGTAAATATGACTCAACAAGCGCTTGTCAGGAACAGCGCAGTGTCAACTAATGTGCGTGTGTGTGTGTGCATGTCTCTGACCCTGACACAGGGTTATTAATCGACATGCTTACGACATAATGCGAAGTAAGCAGCGGCCCTGAGCTTTTGTGTGCGCGCAAAGCATTCAATGGCAGGGCTTCACGTAAATATGCGTCATGGAATGGGCGTGATAACGGAATGGAGAAATAGTACATGCTACCTACTTACTTGTGAGCCCAATAAAATTCCAACTACTGCAGCTAGCCCTCCTGCGACTCCCAAAGATAGCATGGCTTCTTCGATAAATGAAGCGCACTAGAACTTGGCTTTGGAAATAATTAGAAGCCGCGCTCAAATTCACATAGCAGGAACTGCACAATTGCATAGTAACGTCGGCTGGGACGAATCAGATATGTCATTAAAAACAGACACTACGTTGTTACACTTGCAGAAGGAGAGCCGCACGCTGTAGCTTGAGGGACAGTTCGGTAGATTTTGGAAGACCCGAACCCCCGAACCACTTGCACAGAACATGGCATGCAGGCTTGGACATGCAGGCTTGCATGCATTCTCAAAAAAAAAAAAAAAAAGAGTTGAAGTTAGTTCTTATAATGTTCACGAGATGGCGCCTCATGGTCTACATACGCAGAGCCGTTTACATACGCAAGTACAGGAACTCGTACATACTGGTACATACGGCTTGCGCGGCGTTAGACCGCGCTGTTTTAAATGTCGGTTCTCGTCCACCTTTGTTCTATCTTGAATAGAAATTGTCAAAAACAAGTTGGTACGCCACTGGTCGCATTATACGTGACAAAACGTATTCTTCGGCTTCGTTCGCTCGAGTCCATCGACAAAGTGCTCTGCTTCGCAAGCAGCCCATATGCGACCATAGAGTGAAGTTCACTGGACGAATCAATGCCGCCTACGACCTCAGAAAGAGCGTTGTAGAACTATAGAACATGCACGACGCTGTGATGTCAAAGCCAACGTCAGTTCTGGATGGATGGATGGATGGATGAATACAGCTGAGCCCTTTGGATCGGGCGGCAGCTTACGCCACCTAGCCATTTTGTTTTACCATTTAAGCTTAGAATATTTAAATGTGAAATCTATATTCACTCCGCAGTGCAAAGAAAGTGAGGCTATGAAACCCCCTTGCCATCAGTGAATAAGAAAATACCTAGTTTTCTCTCGATTTCTGCCACCATTCACTTAATCTTTGCTTGGTAATCTCTACAGTCTTGAAATCCACTCTCCCTTCGCTGTCTCTAAAACCCAATGACTTTATTAAATCTATGTTGTCTTCGGTAGGCATAGGGTGAAGCCCTTTACAGTAGAGTATCAAGTGCTCAGCCGTCTCGTCCTCCTCTCCACAAGCAGTGCACACTGTATCAATTTCCTGGTACTTCACTCTGTATGTTCTGGTTCGCAGAACACCCGTTCTTGCCTCAAACAGCAATGAGCTTCCCCTAGAATTGTCATAAATGCTTTCTTTGGCAATAACTCTTTTGTTTAATCTATAGCTTTCCAGAGCCGTCTTTGTCTGCATTCCCTCTAGCCACCGATCTCTTTCTGTGGCCTTAACTTTCTTCTTAACTGAGACTTGCTCTTCCGTATCTTCGCTATAGCTCAAAAACTTTCCTCTTAATTTCCTAGTGCGCTGTCTCCACTTTGTGTCTACACTCCTCATGTATAAATAGCTGAAAACCTTTCGTGCCCATTGCTCCCCGTCCGTTTGCCTCAACCTATCCTCAAATTCTACCTTGCTCACCGCTTCCCTGCTCTCAAATGATGCCCATCCCATGTCTCCTTGTACTCCCTGGTTTGGCGTTTTGCAATGTGCCCCCAAAGCCAGTCTACCTACTCCGCGCTGTTTTATTTCTAGTCTCGCATGCACTTCGGATTTCATGCATAGCACTGCGTTTCCAAAAGTCAAGCCAGGCACCATGACCCCTTTCCAAATCTCTCTCACCACCTCATACCTGTTGTAATTCCAAAGTGCTCTATTTTTCATTACAGCTGCATTTCTGTTGCCCTTACCTATTATATACTTTTCATGGTCTCTGAGATATTCTGCACCATCACATATCCATACTCCTAGATACTTGTATTTACTAGCTCTCTCAACTGTAATATTCTGTATCTTCAGCCTCTCAACTTCATCCTCGTTAAAAATCATGACTGCCGATTTTTCGCTACTGAATTCTAAACCTAATTCCTCTCCTTCCCTACCACAGATGCTCATTAATTCCTGCAACTATGTCCTGTTGTTAGCCATTAGTACAATATCATCCGCATATACATCAATCCCGGTAAGGATTGCTGAATTTTTTGGCCTAGCTTACTGTAAGAAAGGTTGAACCCAAGCCCACTCTTCTCTAGTCTATCCTCCAATCCTCTCAGATACAACATAAACAGCAAAGGCGATAACGGGCACCCCTGCCTAAGGCCTCGTCTTATCTCTATTTTCCCTGTCGCCTTTCCTTCCCATGTTATAATCACCTTATTATCTTTGTAAATGTTCCTTAATAGTGCTGTTAGTCCTTCATCTAGGTTTAAGTTCTCCATTATGTCCCACAGGTTTCTTTAGTTCACATTGTCATTAGGCACCCTTGATATCCAGAAATGCCAGCCAGAGCTGTCTGTTTTCTTTTTGCGCTATTTCTATACACTGTGTTAGAGAAAATAAATTGTCCTCCAACCTTCTTTGTTTTCGAAACCCGTTCTGTAACTCGCCCAGTATGCCCTCCCAATCTACCCATTCCTCCAGTCTGTTCTTTATAATCTACATTACCAACCTGTAAATAACCGGTGTCACGGTTATAGGACGATAATTTCTAATATCAGACTTATCTCCCTTTCCCTTATATATCATACTCATCCTACTAAGCCTCCATTCATCTGGAATATTTCCTTTTGTTATCATGGTACTCACTACCTCCCTTAGTTTTGCCTTAGATTTAGGACCCAAATTCTTCACCAGCTTGATAGGGATACCATCTGTGCCTGTCGACGTGCCACTAGGGACTCTTCGTTCCGCCTTTTCCCATTCTCTTTGCCCAAAATCCGCGATGTCACAAACTGGACTGCTACTTCCTTCGGTTCTCCTATCTTCCACATGTACCCGTTCCCAAAATTTCTCCTCCATCACTGCTCCTATATATTGTATCGCATCATCTCCCTCTAATTGATCTCCCTGATGCGAGAGTATGAACCTCTGTCTAGCTTGCGTTGTTTCACCGAGTGAGTTCAAGTGCTCCCAAAACTTCTTGGCAGCGTTTCTATCTTTCTTACTTACATTACTCATCCATTCCTCACCCTTTCTCTGAATTTTCGCATTGATCAAACTGGATGCCTCTCGGCGACATGTTATAAAATTGTCCCATTTTCTTTTTACTTCCGTTTCGGACTCCCCACTACGCTTGGAATACCTGTGTTCTCTAGAGGCTTCCTGACGTTTTTGTATCGCTTGCTTCACTTCTTTGTCCCACCAACTTTTTGGTCTATGTCCTTGCTTCCCCTTTCGTTTACTCTTAACTTTGTCTAGTTCTAGAGCAAAAAGCCTAGTTAGGCTCTCATAGGTCCAATCTGTATGCCGTTGCCCTGAAACAACAACTATTTCCAACTCTTTGTCGCTGCAGAAAGTTTGCTTTGAATTATGTTGTCTACACTGTAAAAAATAACCGTCAAATTTACGGCGCTATACGCTAATAAAAACTGCAAGAACGCCGTGAAGAGGAATTACCTGAAATGCACCGTAAACGAGCAAAAAAGAGCGAGAGGGAAACGCAAAACTTCATGGAGCAAGAAAACAGAAAGAAAAGACGCACACCGCTAATTGGTCACCACGCTTGACCTTCGGAAGCTGCGGGAACCCAAAGAGCCTCCTCCCGCCCCTTCACCTCCTTTCTTTGTCCGCGCCAACGCAAAACGTAACTGCCTTAAATGTACAAAAAAAAAAAAAAAAAATAAAAAAAAAAATTGAAGAGCAAACAGTAGAGCAACAATGCGACGAGCTAGAAGCGTCGACAAAAGAAAGCAACGTTGGTTGGGACAACGCGGGAAGAAGCGGAAGAACCGAACGTTCGGTTCATTTTCCCGCCTTCCCGCCCGTCTCCGCGCCGTTTTGTCCTCGTTCGTTCGTGGAATTCCCGGATTTTTGTGCACCTGAAAATTTGGAGCGGAAGGCAACTGGATACTCGAGACAGGTATTTCATTATCAATCTGCTGCTTGCTTGGCAAGGATAGTGTAACGGTGGCATAAATACAACACCGCAAAATATGTTTACTTCCAGAATTTGTAGTTTCTGTTCAAGCACGCTTGCTGGTTGCGCAATTCGATAAGCACGTTTTCAGCTCTCGAATTCTTCCGTGTGTGGACGAAGGATGCTGTCGCTAGTTTGCTACGTATGATGCTCTCAGGTGTCATATTTTGAGAAGACATAGGCATTTGAACGCCTAGGGTAAGTACGGTTTGCTTCGAAGAGTTTGGAAAGCTTTCAATGCACTTTGCCAGCATGCTTAGAGGAGTGCCACACAAAGGAGGCTTTGCTAAAGCATCTAAAAGGCCACATCACCGACGGTATTTTGGTTTCGTGTTCGTGCTCCAACTGTCAGAAGGTGTGAAATCATAGTTCACGACACATTTGAACTGGGCGCATTTACGAGCGACGGGTTTCTTGGGCGACAGCGCATCGCCTGTAGACCCGCTTCAGGTTGAGGACTCTTCGATTCAGTCGACTAGTGCGGATTCTAATGAAGACGGTTCTGTTAACGTGATGCAATCCCCTGATGATAACTACGATGTTTTAATGTCTCTGTCTGCAGAAGAAAAAAGAACGGCCGTAAAATACGACCTTGTTTGTTTTTTGTTGTTTTTTTTTTTGTGCCTGAAGTCAACGGAAAGCTTCTTATGCCGGTATCAACAGTTCTAAAAATCATTTATGAATTTCAACGTCGGCATTTCTTGTACAAACAATACCTGTTGGGCACACTTGCTGAAAGCCTTCAAAACGTGCTTGGTTCAGTCGAGGCTCATAACATCATTGAGTTCATAACATCATTATACAATGATGTTACGAACCTAAAATCTACCACCTTTCTTCCAGAACACATGAAATCTGCATATTTGAGAAAGCACTTTCCTTGTGTGGAAACGGTGAGTATGTACATAGGACGTAGTTGTGGTCAAAAGGACCGGTTTGCTCCGTATGTCCCCGTTAAAGAGGCACTAAATTACCCCCTAGAAAACAAATCTATGGGCCAGGTATTTACCGAGCCTCGCAGCGAGTCCCACTTACCCGGTGTTTTGGAGGTATTTTGTGATGGTGCCTGTCAGTAAGGCCAGTCTGTAACTAAGATGATTCAAGATGCACCACCAATCGGAAAGTGATCAGTGAGCATTCACTGATCACTTTCCGAACCCCAAGT